ATAACAAGTAATCACATTATGATCAAATTAGCTGACCTCCTTTTACAGGGAGAGGAATTGTGTTTGCTCTGAGGAATTCAATGATCTAGTCGCCGAAGTTGGACATGCTCGTCTCCCCAAAGACGGAGGACGAGAGGCCAAGAGAGGAGGCGAAGGTGGCGGTGGTGGTGTCGCCGGCGAGAGACCGCTTCAGCCGACCCAAGTCGTGGGCGGCGTCCATCATCGTCGGCCTGGACGATGGGCTCTCCTGACTGCACAGCAGGCCCAGCTCCAGCAGCTCTCCGATGGCGGCCTCCCACATTATCTGCACCTCCGGCATCTGCCGCCGCACCTCGCTCGCCAGCGCGGAATCGACGATTGCCGCCGCGCGGCCGTGGTGGTGGCTCTTCACCCACCCGTGCATGCTCATCTCGCCCTCGAACATCTCGTCGGTGGGTCTCCTTCCGGTGACCACTTCCAGCACTACCACGCCGAAGCTGTACACATCCCCCTTCGTTGACGCATTCGATCCATATCCATATTCTGTACGACATGCGCATTAGAGAGAGAGAGAGAGAAAGAGAGCGAGAGAGAGAGAGAGAGAGGACCTGGAGCAATGTAGCCAATGGAGCCACGGAGCATGTTGGCGGTGGAACTCCCGGTGTTCTCCGCCGTGTTCCCAACTCCGACACTCATCACCAACCTTGCAATCCCGAAGTCAGAGACCAAGGCGGTCATGTCATCGTTGAGAAGCACGTTGCTGGGTTTCAGATCGCAGTGGATCACCTTCACTGGAGAGTGGTGGTGCAAGTAGGCCATCCCTTCCGCGATGTCACTGCAGACGTTCACCCTCTGAATCAAGCTCAGCTCGGCAGAGCCCGAATGGAGGCGGCTCTCCAGGCTGCCGTTCCCCATGAACGGCAGCACCAACGCCTTAAAGTCCGGCAGGCTGCACGCCGTAATGATCCTCATCAGGTTCCGATGCCTGATCCTCTTCAGAACTTGGCACTCTCTGTTGAAGCTCCTCGTGGAGTTACCCGCTTGCAGGTTCAGCACCTTCACTGCAACAACGGTTCCATCTCTCAGGACTCCTCTGTAAACATGCCCATAGCTTCCCGACCCAACCAGTCTTCCCTGATCGAACTCCTCCGTCGCCGCCACAAGCTCCCGGTAGCTGATCCGAGGGTAGCTCGACCTGACTACCGGCGATGAACCACCAAAACCATCCCCTGTCCTCCCTATGCCCATGCCTCTGATCTTTCTAACCACCATCACACAGCATACTGTCAGCACAAACGCCACCGCCGAAGCGCCGACGGCCACAGCTATCAAGAACTTGCGAGAATTAGACCATCGTCGGCGTCGAGGGCAGGTCCTTCCGACAACCGACCCGCAGAGGTGAGGGTTTCCGAGATAGGAGAGGTCGGTGAACGACGAGAAGACTCCACCGGTGGGCACCGATCCATTGAAGTCATTGTACGAAAGATTCAGCACGGTGAGACCGGCGCACCCGTTAAGGCTCGACGGGATCTCCCCATCCAAGTAATTGAAGGAAACATCAAGCGTCTCGAGGTTTTGGAGATGACCAAGTGCGGTCGGAAGCTGTCCTCTGAGGTGGTTATGTGACAGATTGATCAGCCTCAGCTCAGCACAAGACGAGAGCCGGGAGGTGATCTCGCCGGCGAGCTTGTTCGCGGACAGATCGATCTCTTGCACCTGATCCATCTTGCCCAGCTCCGCCGGAAGAGGCCCCCGCAGCTGGTTGTTCGACAGGTTGAAGTATATCTTCGCAATGCCTGATACTTCCGGGGGAATCCTCCCTGTCAATCTATTATACGACAGGTCCAGCTTGTTCAAGCTCATGCATCGCCCGAGTGTTGCAGGTATCGATCCAGAGAGCTGGTTCTTGTGAAGGTACAGTTCACTGATCCGAACAAGGTTTCCGATGCTGCTCGGTACTTCACCAGCGAGCATGTTGTCTGACAGATCAAGCAGACCAACCGAGACGAGACCTCCGATCTCGGAGGGAATAAACCCGACGAAGAAGTTGCAGGACAGAAACAATCTCTCCAGCTTCGGGAGCTGCCAGATCTCCTTTGGGAGCGTCCCATTTAGAAGGTTGCTCGACAGGTTCAACAGGGTCAGGTTGGAGAGGTTTGAGATGTCAGGAGGGATTTGGCCGGAGATCATGTTGTCTTCCATGTTGACGATGGACAGATTCTGCTTACCCTCACCGATCCTGGGTGGCAACGATCCACCAACACCGAGCCCTGCCATCTCAAGCTCCTGGAGGTGGGAACAGTTGGAGAGAGCTAAGAAGAAGGGCTCGAGGTTAGTGTTGCTGTCATGACTTAGCAGATTGTTGTGAGACAAGTGAAGGACTTCGAGTTCACTCATTCCCCGCACTGTCTCGGTGGGCAGCTCACCTGAAAGGTTGTTGTTCTCCACGTCCAGTTGAAGCAGGCGCGACGAGTTCGAAAGCCACGGAGGTAATCGTCCCGTCAAATCGTTCATGTAGAGATTGAGGAAGAGCAGATATTGAAGACCCGTTCCCACTTCCGATGGGATCTCACCAAACAGAGCATTGTTGGAGAGGTCGACGACAACCAAGTCAGTGCAATTGTGGAAGATGGCGTCTGGAATCTGCCCTGCGAGCTTGTTGCTGCGGATGTTGAGGTAGCCGAGCTTGGTGAGGTAGGCGAGTGACGGAGGAATCGTACCGTTTAGCAGGTTCCCCGAGAGATCGAGGATGGTGAGGTTTCTCAAGTAGGAAATCTCCGGCGGTATGTGCCCGGTGAGGTGGTTCTCCGACAAGTCCAGCGTGTCAAGGCCGGTGAGGTTGGCGAGGACCGGTGAGAGGGCGCCGGAGATGACCTGGCCGCGGAGGACGAGGTACTTGACATGGAGATGCCGCCGGTTGCATCTGACGCCCACAAACTGGCAAACTCCGGTGGTCTCGTTCCAGTTTGGGAGAGCCAGTTGGGACTGCAGTGTGAGCGAGCTCTTGAAGGCCAAGAGGGCAGCTTTCTCCTGCTGGATTGGCTGCTGCCGGTTAGGCAGGAGGCGGTGGTGTTCGGCCGCGGCAATGTTTTGGAGGAGGAGGAGAAAGATGGCATGCTTCATCACCATGAACTGTATCATGCTTACCAGTGCATGATATGTAGCTATGCATCATCTCTTTAACAGGATGAGATATGGTTGACTGCAAGCCTTTCCAAGTAGTAATAATTATGTGATCCAAGATATTGTAGTTTGTGGAATCAAAGTGGTGGCTCAACCAGGAAATTGCAGCCATATCAGAGCTTCCTGTTGAAGGAAGTGGATGAGAATGATGAGTTTCCAATAACACAGTAATGCTGACTTTGGGAGAAAGCAGAGTGCCATCTAATCTCTGGTGCTCAATTAGTGCTTGAGGTGATCATCTGCAAGAAACACTTCAGTAGCTCAAATCATGAAACCAGGTGGGTTCTTTGTGGGACTTGGCATCTCAACATGATAGTGGGAGTACCATAGAGGGGTAGAAAAACATGAAACCAGGTCAAATTTTGTCACATTAGTAGAAAATGTGAATGCAGCAAGCTCATAACCTAGCTTTTTTCCAGCAGATCTCAAGAGAGGTCTTTGTTTTAGGGTTCTGAGTTTGAGTACAGACTGTTTTTGGACATAACTTTTCAGTAATATAATGATGTCGGCATCAATCCAATTCGGTTCGAGATTACATACGCAAGAAGTATGATGTGGGATCGAATGCTAGCTCCGTGACCAACCTATACGAAGATTGAGGTCATGTGAGTTTTCGGACGTAGTCTATCCGTTACTTAAATCAGTAATTCAAAAAGGTAGAATAAATCATCACTTACCTTGATTATTGTACCTTAATGATATTTTTATAACGAGTTAATCGAAAGAATATTCCGTGATACTAGCGAAATATTTTTTATCCCCCTGTTTTCATAATATTCTTTGAACTGTTATTTTGAATTGATATCCATATAATCTGGTCATTGACTGGGTTCTACCTTTTCACTACTAATTATGCTATTACATATCCAGTCACTACTAAGTAGGTGAATATTTTTCTTATCATAACACCATCATGTAAGTGGATGTAACCCTTCAAGAAATATAAGAAGGGAAACACAAAGCTTAACAGCTTCTTCTACCCACTGAATCATCGCTGGGAATCTACTACTGTAGGGTAGGTTTAACTTTAAGCATCTAAAGATTTAGGCTTTGAGAGTTTGTTGTGAAGGTAGTGATCAATGTGATCACTGTCTAAGAGAGATGAGAGATCTGTTAAAATCTCCACTTTGCTAAAGTTGAAACCTTCAGATGATATTGAAAACTAATCCATGCTGAAGTCATTATTTATCTCTAATGGATTGTTCTGCCCTCCACCCTCCATCTTAGGATGCCTTTATGGGCTAATAATATCTAGATTAATCAAGCATTCAACCCAACTATGATTGTGTCTTACAGATTGAGGCATGATTAAGATCTAAAACCATCCACCCTAATTTATTAGGATTCCTATCTATGCTTCTACCATCTGTTCAATTCAAAGCTTTTAGCCATAAGTCAGGATCACATTTTCTTGAACTAGTAAGTTAAATTTCAATGACCTTGGTGAGATTAATTTCTTGAATTCTACAAGATCACCTAAGTTGTTGGAGTTGGAAGTTCTTGAGATTGTTTCAAGAGAGCTCAGATACTGGTATAGATGGATTTAAGCCTAATAAGTCATATAATTTCATGATAACATAAGTAAGGCCATGAAGAACTATGAAGATTCATGTTAGATAAGCATAAAATAGAGAAAGGATCAAATTCATTGCCTGCTTTTTTCTTTTCCCTTTTTCTCCTACTTATCTTTTTCAGTGAGATTAAGTTCTTCCAGAGGATGTCTGTTAATTTTCTGCATGAAGAAGGAGAAAAAGAGGACACTTATCAAACTATACGTCAATCCTAAAGCAGATGAGGAATCACTATAATCTGAAAGTATCTCATTAGTATAATGTCAGAAACAAGGTTGATGTCAAACACACATCACCTATTTGCTGAGATGATTTGAGCAGCAAATCAAGCTGTCCACTCACATATGGCATGTTGTGTCACACTAAGTGATAATATAGGACAGCATTAAAGATAAGATTGGCATGGCCCTGTCACAGAACAATATAGAATGTTGTCTGAAGAATATGCAGGCAAACATATTGCAGAGAAGCATTAGGCTTTTGAGAGCAACCAGAGATGTATTTTGGAATGTCACCTCTGAAAGCTCAAAGCAATCCAATTTGTTCATATTAATTAAACCATTTTGATGCATGTGTACCCCTTGCAATTCTTAAAATGGATGCTCTGTCTGTAGTGAATTGACTAAGTTGATGCAGATTTTGACAATGGTTGCAAAGATAGCATCCACAGAGCTCAGATCTTTGCTTGATCAAGCTCTCCTCCTCCAACAAATCTGATATGAGGAGATAGATGAATCTGAAGTTGGATTTGATATCCTTGATGTTGTCAGACAAGAAAAGTTTCAATTCAATAATCAAGATGATCGATAAATATAAGACAAAGAAAAGCATACACGATTTACATAGTTCGGCATTCTCTGTCTATATCGAAAAATCTAAAATTTTTGTATATTATGAGAATATTAAAATGCAAGGAAAAGAAAATTTTTCACTTGGTCTAACGCAAAATACAATGAGATTTCCTCTCTTGTTTGGCGTCACCATATATTGTATGGTTCTTTCTTTTTCAGTTTATATTTGAAGTCTGTATGAGAATCATAGCTGATGATAGTAAACTCTTCCTGTACATGGTTATAAGTCTAAGTTAACAATATGGTAAACAAGGTGTCATAATCTCTCTCACCTGAGTTTTATGTTCAAACTAATGATAGTAGGCCCATCTGATGTGAGGTAATCGTAATCTTTCTCATTTAAGGCTGCACATCTTCTTCAAAGGATTAAGCATGATCCGAGAATCAAATCCTGGACAGGTACACATGAAGCTCAACTTAATACTAAGTTCTTCTGTTGGTCCTCTTTTGTTAGTTTTGATAGGTTTATTTGCGGGGTAAGAACAGATGAAATGAATCTGAGAACAAGAAACACACAATGTTGCTCAGGCCTGCTTCCTTGTTCACAGTTCTTTATGTTTCATGATTCATTTTCTTCTCTGAACCTTTTTTTTTTTTGCTCTATATAAGAAATGCAGCTTATTTGGTGAATCATAACAATGAAACAGAAAGACAAAAGCTGAATCTGATATTTTTTTTCTTTTTGGTATGTAGTAAGCTTGCATGAATTCTTTGCCAATACTTTGGTTCTGGTTCTACTCCATGAATTTATGAATTTTTTGTTTTTTTGATTCTTTCTCTCTGTTAAGATCGACTGATTGCCAATGCTTCTATTGCCCTTCGAGGAATTGCACATTGTGATCTGCCTTGCCCAATTCATGATCCAGTAAGCAAAGCTTCCCAGTTCAGAAAGATGCACTCTGTTTTTCCAGAGTTCTTGCTGAGTTACTGCCTCAACCACTTTCTGTTTGCTGGTCTTTCTGTATCTGCACAAAGAGATCAAGTTAAGAAGAAGGAATACAAAGTTTGGATTGCAGTTAGCTCAGAAGCTTCATTGTTCTTCAGAAATGTCACAAGACCTCAAGTATGTGTTTTACATGTAGCACTTGAACCATTGATTGGATCAACCTACTACTCTTTTCCCCCTCTCATGCAATGCACACTGCTTTCTTGTTCCAAAAAAATTCCAAGAGGTATTAGGAGTGCAACCATACAACAATCCAAACCATGAAAAGCTCAACAATCATCATCACATCTCTGCATAAATGATACATCACATTGTAAACCACAAAAATTAAAGCTTTTTTTATTGATATCCAACTCTGTTCCACACCAAGATAGCATCATTTGATTATTACTCCAAACTCATTGTGGTAGACACAGCAAACCACCCAGAGTTCTTATTCACGTAAGCATATACTAATAGTAGCCTGGCCGGCTGCTTTGCCAAAAAAGACCAACAGGCAAACAGGAATAGAACACCTTTCTCATAATCTCCCCTTCTCATCTTTCCCTCCCTTCTCCACCAGCACCTCACGTTCTGAGAAGACTCCTCCTTTGCCATCCTTTCCTGCATTCTCCAAAGTAACTCCTTCCCAGTGATGCAGGATGGACCTTGGTGACTCTGCCGTCGCAGTGGAAGCGGCGAAGGTCTGGTAGACCAACAGTCCATCACCAGGAAGCTCCTGCTCCACCATGTCATTGCAAGCATATCCATGCAGATCAACCTTCTTCGCCCATGTGGCAGCCAGCCCACGTCCTCCGAAGATGGTGACTGCAACGGAGAACTCAGAAGGGCCGAAGCACCTGAGGACTCTTTCGACCAGGTCGTGATATTTCAAGGAGTGAGGGTTGAACCCCATGGCTTCGTAGCTCGCGTAGCTGAAACCATCCTCGGGTGTCACATGGATTGTAGAGAGTGCTGGACCGTGAATCCCGTTCATGGAGTATCCACAGGGCTCGAAATCAAAGTCGCATATTTCCATCTCAGGAATGATGTCGGAGATCCCAGAGAGCTTCGTCATCTCGTTCGCAGAAGAATTATGGCCATCAACTGAGTTCTTGAAGAAGATCGATGCGCGTTCAGCGTCCAGCCCGGTCATGCACATCTCCAGAGTAACCAAAGGCAGCTCAGGTTTCTGGGTAGCATAGTATATATGCCATTTCCGGTTCGGCATCGATGGATCACCAATCACATAAGCATTACCGCCGGACTTGAGGCTGCCAAAGAAGCCATTCAGGACAGAGACTTCCTCAGAGAAGCTGCGGTGCGGAGATGGCTGCGCGCCGGGGAAAATGAAGGTCCCACGAGAGTACTTTGCAGACAGAACAGAGAGCGAGAGGTCTGCAGCAAGATCAAGGATTCTGGGAATGGAAAGGAGGAGCTTTGTCGTCCCACAGGTCTTGAGAATGATCTTGTAGGGGTACACAAAGAGGCTCGACTCAGAGAGGACATACGAATCGAAGTCCTTGTTCGACAGCTGAGACACGATGGTGCACCGTGCCAAATCCAGAATAGAATCGATCTGCGCACGCGAGATGGCGCGCAGTCCACGACCCTGGGGGTCGACAAAGATGGGCGCCTCAGAGAAGGTAATCTCCAGGCGCTTCTCGTACCCCTCGAACCCAATTGGCGAAACAGGGGGAGGGTGCGGGGAACCACCCATCGAGAATGTCATCGGGTGAGTGCAAGAACAACAGAGAGGGTTGATGGAGAAGAGAGTGGGAGACAAGACGAGAGATTGAGAGAGGTTTGATTATCAGAAAGCAGCAAGCCAGAGATAGGTAAACAGCTCGAGGAACAAAAACAAAAGCACGGGAAATCCTACTCTACCGAAGGGGACATCTGAGGAGATATCAGGATGGCTTCCTCACGCACTGCGAAAGATCGAAATGATGAGAACAAGAAAATTGTCTGAATTGACATGGACACAGCTAAAACTAAGCAAAGATTCAATCTTTTTCTCTTACGTTGGAGTAAGCAGCAGACTGGAACTTCTCGATTCCACCGTGCGGTCGGATGTCTTCAATGCTGTAGCCGAGGGGAGCTTCGTACTGTAATGAACTACTACTACTGCTAGACTTCTTCTTCCCACCCTTAGACTCCATT